CTCCTGGCTCACCTGGAAAAACAAAAGAAAGAAGCTGAATTTATGCAGGAAGATTGATATTACCACTCAAGGTTAGCCACTGGCCATATTAAGTTTGCATATGTGCCTTCAAGTCAGCTATTGACTTAGGGCAACCACATGAATTTCATAGGGTTTTCTTAGGCAAGGGATACTTAGTGGTGGTTTTGCCAGTTCCTTCCTCTGAAATAGAGCCTACAGCACCTGGTATTCATTGGCAGTTTTCCCATCCAAGTACTAAGCAAGGTTGACCCTGCTTAGTTTCCAGAATCAAACAGGATCTGGTGCCTTTAAGGTATTTAGCCTAGTTTTATATATTGAAGGGAGAGGTGGAGAAAGATGTAATATCTAAGGCCTCTCCTACAAGATGCATTGTGACTTCCTTCCTCAGAGCTACTGTGTTTAGTAAATTTTTACGTTAAAATACATGAAACCTCATCAAATGTGAGAAGCTGCCGTCACATTACAGATCCCAATATAATAGATTTCACTTGTAGAAATTAGATTGTACAATAATTATAGACAAAAAAGAGATAGTTTAAATAGGCCATATTATATATTTTGGGGGAAATGGAAGGCCAATGTATACACGCGTCCTTCCACATTTGTGGCTTTGACTTTTGCAGCTTTGATTATAATAATAATAATAATAATAATAATAATAATAATAATACTTTATTTTTATATTCCCCCTTTTGCCATGCCAATCAAGGTGGCTTACATATAAAATTAAATTTTAATAAAACATGTCCAAAATAAACAGTACTAAACAATACTAATAAATAACAGTTAACCTCCTTTTAAAAATATATAAAATACAAAAATACAAAAGTAAAAGCATCAGATTAAAACATTCTGGGACACCAGTAAAAGAGGATGTCTAACAAGGAGGGAGGCCAGGTTAGGTGAGGTGATCTATTCAGGGAAGGCCTGGCGGAAGAGATCCGTCTTGACGGCTTTTTTAAAGCCGTCCAAGCCGGTTATTTGACAGATCTCCTCTGGCAAGGTGTTCCAGTCTGGGAGCAGGGCAGAAAATGTCTTCTGGGAGGTTACTGCTAATCTAGCTTTTATCGGTTGAAGTAAATTCCTCTCAGAGGACTTGAGGGTGCGGGGTAGATTATATGGAAGAAGGTGATCCCATAGATAGGGTTGGACCCAAGCCACGTAGAACTTTAAACGTCATCACCAACACCTAATACTGTACTCGGAAACCAACAGGCAACCAATGGAGAGATTTCAGAACAGGTGTAATACGATCACTTTTAGATTTTCCAGTGATCAACCTGGCTGCCATATTTTGTACTAATTGTAGTTTCCAGATTAGGTGTAAAGGTAGCCCCACGTGGAGTGCATTGCAGAAATCGAGTCATGAGGTTATCAGTGCATGCACTAAAGTTTCTAGGTCCCTTACTTCCAGAAAAGGGCACAGCTGGCGTAACAGCCGAAGCTGATAACAGGCGCTCCTGTCGCATTCACCTGATCTGTCATGTGAAGCGACGAGTCTAGGAGCACCCCCAAACTGCGAACACAGTCCTTAACGGAGAACGTGACCCCGTTCAGGACTGGATTCAGGATTATTCACAGCTTTTACTAATATGTTCTCTTTGGACTGTCTAGGTCAGGGACTGGCAACCTACGGACCGGGGGCCGGTTAAGGCCCCGGGCTTACCATCCCAAGCCGAAGGTTGCCGCCACCGCCGTGCGCCGCCACCGGGGCGCGTTTTCGGCCGCAATCGCTGCAGCCGCCATTTTGGAAGTCAAAATGGCGGCCGCGACCCGTTTGCGCATGCACAGTACTCTTGTGCATGCGCAAACGCGTCGCGGCCACAATCTGGACTACCAAAATGGCGGCCGCGACATGCGCTGTGGCGGCTGTGGCCGCGCATGTTATGGCGGTGGCTGTGGCAGCAGCCGCATGCGTGGGGGGTCGCGTGCGGTGGCGGGGGGTGCGCGCGCGTGCCGCCATTCCCCCCCCCTTGGCCCAGTCGAGACCTGGGCTACGGGAGACCGGCCCAGGTCTCAAAAAGGTTGCCTGTCCCTGATATAGGTCCTCCAGCACAACTCTGGTCAACTTTACCTAAAGGTTGCACTTAAGGACCTAGAGAGAACACTCCACTAGGCATTTGTAGATCCTCTGGCACAATTCTATGATCAGTGTCTGGCAGATGTTGGCCACAGAGTTGCACTGGAGAACCTAGAGATTCCTAGAGAGGGGTTCTCTCAGAAAAACATAGTGTTTTTATTATTTGTGGTTTTTCCACATCCACAGGGGTCCTTTACCTATAACCCCAATAAATGTGGAGGGGATGAGGGTACTTGAAGGGGTGTCAACTTGAGGATGGAGCAAGCTTGTTTTCTGCTGCTCCAGAGAATAGGACCCAGAACAATGGATGCAAGCTCCAGGAAAAGAGATCCCACCTCAACATTAGGAGGAACTTCCTGACAGTGAGAGCTATTTGAGATTGGAACACATTTCCTTGGAGTGTGGTGGAGTCTCCTTCTTTGGATATCTGGATGGCCATCTTTCTGAGGTGCTTTGACTGTGAATTCCTGCATGGCAGGAGTTTGGACTGGATGGCCCTTGAGGTCTCTTCCAACTCTGTGATTCTACTACTATGTCTTTGATTGTCTAGCACCGTTAAAGAAATCAATAAAATCCTGTATGGTTTAGCTTCTATGAGGAGATCCACTTTCTGTTTTAGGCTTTTTGATTTTAAAAAGAGACCTGGGGAACATTTTAGTAGGCATTTAAAAAAAGCATGCAAAAAGTTGCACCAGAGATTAAGAAGTGGAAGGATTTGAAAAAGAACTTACAAATACTATCAAAACACACACAAGCAAGCTGTAGGAAAACAAAGCTGCCATTTAACTCTCTTCCCTTGCTTCCTCAGGGATAAAACTCAGGGAAACTGGAATCAGGCGGCAGATCCCCGGCTGCCTAATGCACCTCCGGCTAAGCTCCAGTTAAGATAGTAGCGTGGCCTAGTGGTTTCAGTGTTGGATTATAACTCTGGAGACTAGGGTTCGAACTTTGGCCGAGTCACACTCTCTCAGCCTCAAAGGCAAACCTCCTCTGGAGAAATCTGGCCAAAAACCCACGATAGCGAGTCGCCATAGGTCGGAAACGACTGAAAGGAAGACACACCGCCACCACAACAAACAAAACCTCCTTCTTCCCCACATTTTCGGGGTCTCATACCGGCCTCTCTGCCCCTCTTGTCCCTGTTCCTCTTACCCTTCGTCCCGAAAGGAGCCATTCCCTGCCTCCTTTCGACGACGGTTTCTCCTCAAGGGCTTGAAAAACCCAGGCTCAAAATGGCGCCCGCTTTGAATTTGGCGCTCGGCGTCGCCGCGGTGAAGCCAAACAGGGAGCGGCCATTGAGGGCAGTGGGGGCGAGGCTCAGGAAGTGTCTGACGGTGCCCCCGTCACGTGACGCACAGGG